TGATATTAAGATGTAAACCGCGACATATAAAATTAATTTACCTGTGAAACTGGAGTGAAAATGTGTTAGTTTATCCGGTTTTTTCTTCAGTGCCTTCAGCACTTTGATCTTATCTGTAGTACAAGTAAACTATATCGTTTTCACCGAAAAATCATTAAATTCTAAACAAGTTTCTAATAGAATCATAAACATTTATTGTATCATAGTTTGAAGACTTTTCTGTTGAAAACGTGTCAGAGTTAAATCGAATTCATATACATGCACAGTGCGTAACTGGAGTGCAGGTAATAGTTCCCAACACTCCAGAGCATGCCCATTGATGTACTCATTCTTTGGGGGGGGGGGGGGGGTGCTTTTTGTGGAATAATGATAGAAATGCCATATTTCAGAAGCTTGTTCATAGGTTTTTTCTGGGGTTTCATATTGTTACAACAGGGAACGTGGATTTAATTTTGCCTATGGTATGAACATGATGTAATTGTGTGTGGAACGTGTATGTGCGATCCTATCAAGATAACCTACGAAACGTCACTCATTACGTCACTCATTACATACACAGATGCCCGTTTGTGCCAGAAACAATTTTGCAAAGGGGGCATCTGAGTTCTTACTCCACCAGTAAAACTGAAGAGTCGCCAAAATGACCTACACAGTTTTGTGTGACGTAACCCCCACTCCATCCCAAAAACAAACAAATCAAATGAGACATGTCATTAACTGTATTTGATTTAAATACGTTATAGATAGCGTTAAATACTTTTATAAGTGTGATTACACTGTGCTCGTTATAGTATAAATATCACCGATACATTATGTTTGCCTTAGAATATTGAAATTGAAACTGAAAAGTCAATGAAAATAATTGTACATGTATATACGAGTAATATCTTTCCGTTTTGTCTAGAAAATGTCCGCTTCGCTGGCGTTTGATTTTTCAAGACAACGAAATTGCTACCTTGATTATCTTTTATACAGTTTTTCTTCGTTATATAAACATGATAGGTTAGAGTGTTGAGAAAAAATCAATAGACTTTTTTACCCTCGTTTACTCTGTTGTTCCAAAAATGTCCGTTGCGTATTTTAGTTATACCTGATGAATTGTGGGTAACTTCTGTACATGTCTGGGAAAACCAACTTTCATTTTTGCATCAAAAGCTAATGTGAAAATGCATTTTCTAGCATAATTGTTGTTAGAGGGTTGGCTTAAGTGTAAGTTATTGTTATTTTAGTCATAATATTTTGATTTGTGAGGAAATTTGTTTACATTTTTTTTGGACACCAAATTACCTGTCAGACCTCAGTGTAGCCCCTTTAAATGTAAACTAACGACTAGCATAATTTTGCACATGGTAAACATTCAAATTTTTCCCGATGAAAATATAAATTTAGTTTATAATTAGTAAGTTATATCTGATGCATTGGAAAAAATCAAAATGTCAGTGCTGCAGAGGCGTATGTAACTGAGTGTTAATTTTACAGGTAAATATCTATTTTGTACAGGTTAATGAAGCATTCAATTACAATTCGTTCATTAAGTTTCGGATGGTAAATTCTTAAACTGAAACTATTTTATATAACTATAGCATCAGTCAATCGCGTTTTACTAAAAGATAGAGCTAGTAAGCCGATTTACCTACGAATTTAGGTCAGATTACTGTATTGTAACATAGACAGCGGTTGGTTCAATGGGACAGACGGTTTTCATCGATCAGTAATTTTTGACATTTTGCGGAAACTTTGGTCTCATTTTAACGTGTCAGGCATGTCATTCTTCTAGAAAAAAATCGCATCTCGAGCATGAATACTCAAGTTTAAGGTAGGTTTTAGTGGTCACTTGTAATCATTTGATTCTATAGGGAAATTAATACAGTAGTCTGACCTTGAAAGACTGTTATCCTATTGAACACAAATACGATTAAGTTCATTTTAAAGATGATCAGTTGAGCATGCTAAGTACTCATTAATGTTAGTTGGTTTATTACAACATGTTCATCCCTTTACGGAAACGATTCGGGACTGTTATATAACTGACATTATTGAATTAGTTTTTGATTTTACCATAATTATAAAGTATTTTACGAGGGATATTTAAATGTAACAGGTAAGTTCACCGATATCCGATGTATTTTATACCTTCATAGTCTAAACGGAATATGTTATAATTAATAGAATCAAAGGCGCTGGATGTTATAAAGTATATTTTTTCGTTTAAAGGCCCATTTTTTTTTTATTTCTCAAAACCTTTTTATTTTTCGTATATTGTTTCAGTTTCCAAAACAATTATCATTTTGCCATATAGGTGAATTGTCCATCTCTTATTTTGCTCTGTTGGCAATTGGTATTATTAAAATGAAATAATATTTGGTATGGAAGTCAAAATACTACTTTGTTTATATTTTAAATTCCTACCTTTATGAGACATTACTGCATTTAGAGCTACTGCCTTAGTTGTTCAACATTAAAAATGCTCTAAATCCATTATTAAAATATTACTCAACACATGTTTGATATTTGTAAAGGATTGAAAAATATGTTTTTTGAGGAATATCGATCGTGTCTTTAATCTTACCTTCAATTCCTAGTATTTTGTATTGTTTTTGGGTTTCTTTTTTTCGCAGTATATCGTCCAGCAAAAACAGGTGTGTAACCTTTCGTACTACATATACCGAGGTAACGGAATTTTGTTGCTTTTTGCCTATGGCACAGAAATATATTTTCACAAAAAGCAAAACGAAATATACGAAGTACAAAAATAAAAACATAATGGCAATAATATACAGTTCAATCGTTCAGTCATATATCTATTCCATCTATAAAGACAGATTTTTATAATATGCTATTTGGTTGGTTCAAAAATCATAAGTTATCTTAATAACAATATAAAAAGCTCAGCGACGTGGTGTGGTCTTTCTGATCTCTTCCCCTCGGTGCGTACACATAGCAGAGAAGACACAGCGGTGCGTGCACGTCATAGAGAAGGCAAAGCGGTGCATGCACGTCGCAGAGAAGGCATTGCGGTGCATGCACGTCGTAGAGAAGGCATAGCGGTGCAAGCACGACGCAGAGAAGGCATAGCGGTGCATGCACGGCGTAGAGAAGGCACAGCGGTGAATGTACGTCATAGAGAAGGCACAGCGGTGCGTGCACGTCGTTGAGAAGGCACAGCGGTGCATACACGTCGCAGAGAAGGCACAGCGGTGCGTGCACGTCGTAGAGAAGACACAACGGTGCGTGCACGTCGTAGAGAAGACAAAGCGGTGTATGCACGTCGTGTAGAAGGCATAGCGGTGCATGCACGTCGTAAAGAAGGCATAGCGTAACACGCACGTCGTAGAGAACGCAAGGCGTTGCGCACACAACGTAGAGAAGGCATAGCGGTACATGCACGTCGTAGAGAGGGCATAGAGGTGCATGCATGTCGCAGAGAAGGCACAGCGGTGCGTGTACGTCGTCGAGAAGGCACAGCGGTGCATGCACGTCGTAGGGAAGGCATAGCGGTGCATGCACGTCGTAGATAAGGCACAGCGATGCATGCACGTCGTAGAGAAGGCATAGAGGTGCATGCATGTCGCAGAGAAGGCACAGCGGTGCTTGTACGTCGTCGAGAAGGCACTGCGGTTCCTGCACGTCGTAGAGAAGGCATGGCGGTGCATGTACGTCGTAGGGAAGGCATAGCGGTGTATGCACGTCGTAAAGAAGGAATAGCGTTACATGCACGTCGTAGAGAACGCATAGCTGTGCGTGCACGTCGTAGAGAAGGCATAGCGGTACGTGCACGTCGTAGGGAAGACAAAGAGGTACATGCACGTCGCACATTAGGCACAGCGGTGCGTGTACGTCGTCGAAAAGGCATAGCGGTGCGTGTACGTCGTAGTGTAGGCAAAGAGGTGCATGCACGTCGTAAAGAAGGCATAGCGGGACATCGGCAGAAAATCTGGAGCTTGGCTGATTTATCACCAAGGTCACGTGGCCTGGTTAAGATCCGGAGCTCTGTTGTGTTACATATAGGGTAGGTCCTTGAGACCAATCTACCCTGCTCCGATGCGGGAGCTTCTAACGACACCAACGACTCAGCTGCCGATGTTCTGACTAAAGCCAAGAGAAGTGGCCCGACAAAGTAGGCATGGACGGAGAGGAATGTCGGCTTGAAAGGCAGACCCTTACCTGGCATATGAGCTCTTTCTCCGGGATACCTCATTCTTTTTATATTGTCTCAGGTAACATCACGTTTTGGTCCTCATTGGCCACCGTACAGTGGATGACCTACTTCTGGCTCGACATTTTATTTTATCTTTGGCTAATATTCCCTGGAAATTGCATGGAGGTTAATTATCACCACGTGTCCTGGGTCCGCTATCGACAGCGAGCATAAACTACTGTACTGGTAATGTTTCAGTCTTTTTCGGATGAAAACGTTGTAATTTTTTTTATTTATCAGAATTCTAAGCTGATCTAGCTTTACTCAGTAATACCCAAACCCTCCCTCCTAATATATATTAATGACATTTGCTTCTGAAAGTATTTTTCAGGAGCTTTTCGTCATGGCTGGAAACAGAAAATTTGACTGTAGGTTATAATCAATGAAAAAAGTTAAAACTTTATCATTCGCTTCGTAAGCAAACTAAAGACAATTACTTTGTTGACTATCAACATTCCGTCAACGATGCTTACGTTAAAATGACATGTAGTGATTTTATCTGCATTGATGTTGAACGTAAATTTTAAACTTACGTTTTCTTTAATTGTACACTTATATAAGATTATTTGACATGCGTAAGACATACTCTATGATAAGTTTCATAAAATTATGTTAGATGTGGGGGCATACATGAAACATATACTTAAATTGTATCGATATTTCTTGTTCACCAGCTATTGACAAAATTTCGCCAACCCTTTGATAAACCATGAAAACTAACTTGTCTTCTTGGTTTTTGGTTGCTTCCAGGAAGCGGACTCGAAAATGATTAATATAAATTGCAAGAACTTGTTTCGCTAAATTGAGCTTTAATAAAATATGTTTGAACCAAATATATAATATATATATTATATTAACAAACATTAAAAAACTTTGAACAGTTGTACATAAAAAAGCACAAACAACTTAAAAATGATTATGTGCTGCTGGGGCGGACGTAAAGAGTTGCAAAGATGTTTAGAAGATAATCAAGATAATCGATAATTTGGAAAATATTTTATACTTGCTCCTTTATTCATTCTTTTATTATGCCGCTGATTTTCCGTTTCTTATGACAAAAGTTTATGTTTACACGAGCATGCGAAACAAATAAACCAATTAGTCGGTATGTAGTTTTTAATTACTAAACCATTCATCCTAAATATATACATTTATGCTTCTTACAAACGGTTATTCATTACAGAACTGATATTATAAATGTGTGTATATATAATAAATGCTAAATATTAAATATTACAAAAATTATAATTATTATAAAAAGGATATTAAAATTTTGCATAAAATCAACGACAACAACAAATATAAATATTGCAGATATAGTTTTGTTGATTACGTTCACGTGCATACAAGATTCAACATAGTCTAGTTCCCTTCGTACTATAAATTTAGTACTATTGAACGAAGAGAAAATGGCAGGTAATCCAGACTAGATTCAACACTAAATAGTATTGCAATTAATCACCGGGTGAATAAATTATCCCAGAGAACGAGGAAAAAACGTAACAAGAGTGTGATATCTTGTTTACTCCCCATTTGTTAAGCCCACGTTTATCCAAAACATATCACTGTGGCAACATATTTATTAAACTTATCATATTGATTAACTTATCATCTCATACAGTGAACAAGTCCCTGTCTAAAATGTTTTTGGTGTTTTTTAGGGTAATTTCAGTACGTCATCATTTACATCGTACCGATGACGTAAAAGACGGTAAACTGATCGCCAGTACTAAACCAACAATGCTCCAACTTGGTTTGTTACTGTTTGAAACTTTATCTTTGTCCACAGCGTCGTAGTTATCTGAAAATAAACACGTACACGTTTTGAACAAAGGTGATATAAAAGTTAAAGAAAGGTAGTATGATTAAAGAAATTTTTTAAATAGCATCACCTTATTATGTCGAGTCCGGATGATTTTATTCATTATAAGTGTAGGTCAAATAATGCAGTGACTTGACTTTAAATTGCTTTTTTATCAAAGCGTGACAAAAGCAATGTTATTTAATGTGCTCAACAGATAGTTTCCTACCTTCAATACAAGTCGGGACGCTTGCAGACCAACTTCCGGTTGACACACACCTAATCATGTCAGTACCTTTTATTTCATAGCCTTCCTCACATTGGAATGTTACGTTATTTCCAAACGTAAGACCACTTACATTCATTGTACCATTTGTTGGGGCTTCAACCTCTCCACATTCTGTAAATATATAGAAACCATCTGAAACCAAAATATTACCAAAATTGATGGTCATTTTTTCAAAGTGCATACAAGTAATTATTGTCATCAGACATTTACACCAAAGTGCTTGTTAATATTGTATTCAAGCATAAATAATAAAAAGGTACAAAAAACTTCATACATATACATGTACATGTAAATAGACTTTGTTAAACATTAAAGGGACTCCAATGAGGTCGAAAATCTCAACAACAAAAAAATCAAATTTCTTACCTACATCAGCTGGGGGCATTTAATATAGAAAGGTATGCAAAGGATAATTAAGAAATATACTAAGCAATAAAATGAAAATCGTATTTCTTGCTATTCTAAGCTTGAATTGCAACGCATTTCAATTTTGGGCCATTTTCACGTCAACTAAAATAATAATTCTGGAAAAAACGGAGTGAGCAAATGGTCTGAAATTTTGCACACAAGTTATTGGTCAAGACCTACATCAAATGAAACATTAATCTCGTAAAATTATGTCCAGTCCCATGGTGTCAAAAATCCTCAGTAGAGTCCCTTTAATAAAGATTCGAAGTCAGGTCTGGACCCAGATATTTCGATACTGCCAGATTAACCTCATTTGTCATAAAGTGTGCCTATACATGTATTTAAAAGTCAAAATCGATATATTCGTAAATAAAAAGATAAACTTTATATTTGCTGTAAAAAAAACAACAAAGAAATTTCCGAATATATTTCCAAAGATATTTTCAAAACTTTCTAAACAGTTAAGCTATATCTGTGTAAAACAAATTATATTAATAACAGAGCGGAGAAAGAAGATGTCACAGTGTTCCATTGCAATTCGAATATTATGGAATTAATTTAGAGCTTACGTCTGGTTGCGATTGATATCTTGTATATTTTTTCAAATGAGAAGTAATCGGCAAAATGTATTAAAGATCCTGTATCTTGTTTTTTTTTTAAATGAGAAGTAATCGGCAAAATGCATTAAAGATCCTGTATCTTGTATTTTTTTTTCCAAATGAGGAGTAATCGGCAAAATGTATTAAAGATCCTGTATCTTGTTTTTTTTTTCAAATGAGAAGTAATCGGCAAAATGCATTAAAGATCCTGTATCTTGTTTTTTTTTCAAATGAGAAGTAATCGGCAAAATGTATTAAAGATCCTGTATCTTGTTTTTTTCAAATGAGAAGTAATCGGCAAAATGTATTAAAGGTCCTGTATCTTGTTTTTTTTTCAAATGAGAAGTAATCGGCAAAATGAATTAAAGATCCTGTATCTTGTTTTTTTTTTCAAATGAGAAGTAATCGGCAAAATGTATTAAAGGTCCTGTATCTTGTTTTTTTTTCAAATGAGAAGTAATCGGCAAAATGTATTAAAGATCCTGTATCTTGTTTTTCTTTTCAAATGAGAAGTAATCGGCAAAATGCATTAAAGATCCTGTATCTTGTATTATTTTTTTCAAATGAGAAGTAATCGGCAAAATGCATTAAAGATCCTGTATCTTGTTTTTTTTTCAAATGAGAAGTAATCGGCAAAATGCATTAAAGATCCTGTATCTTGTATTTTTTTTCAAATGAGAAGTAATCGGCAAAATGTATTAAAGATCCTGTATCTTGTTTTTTTTCCAAATGAGAAGTAATCGGCAAAATGTATTAAAGATCCTGTTTCTTGTTGTTTTTTTTTCAAATGAGAAGTAATCGGCAAAATGCCTTAAAGATCCTGTATCTTGTATTTTTTTCAAATGAGAAGTAATCGGCAAAATGTATTAAAGATCCTGTATCTTTTTTTTTTTAAATGAGAAGTAATCGGCAAAATGTATTAAAGATCCTGTATCTTGTTTTTTTTCAAATGAGAAGTAATCGGCAAAATGTATTAAAGATCCTGTATCTTGTTGTTTTTTTTTTTTCAAATGAGAAGTAATCGGCAAAATGCATTAAAGATCCTGTATCTTGTTTTTTTTTTCAAATGAGAAGTAATTAGCAAAATGTATTAAGGATCCTGTACCTTGTATTTTTTTTCAAATGAGAAGTAATCGGCAAAATGTATTAAAGATCCTGTATCTTGTTTTTTTTTCAAATGAGAAGTAATCGGCAAAATGTATTAAAGATCCTGTACCATGTATGTTTTAATTAAGGATGTAACATACAGTTAAGTGAAGTTTTATATATGTATAAAATCATTCTTTACAAATAATGCTTTTCGAAACTTACAATATTGATAAATCATCATATGAGCATCAGATTTATGATATAAAATCATAAAAAATGCGTTACAGGGTCTTGAACACGTATTCTACTACAGACAAAACAAAACAACACACCAACTGGCTTGCACCAGACAAAAACCTCCCAATGCGCAGTATTATCACAGACTGGTTGGCTACCATAGGAGGCCCTGTACCCGTCATAACACTCCAATGTTGCAAAGGCGCCAATTTCTGTTCCATTTACTGTAGTATTTAAATAGCCATTCCTTTGTTCCGGTGGTTTGCCACAATCTTAAACAAAGAAAATATATGGTACAAACAGCTTCAGTCAAAAAATCGTTGCCA